TGCAGTGTGGACTCCTTTTCGACACTCTCTAGCACCGGTGAACACACAGGCGTTGCTTCCGAGGTGGTAAAAATCTGTGAATGCCCGCCGAAGTTGTCGCGGTTTTCCGACTTGTCTCGTGCTCGAGCCATGCCGAAAAGAGCGGGCGCAGGCCTGGGACAGCGTCGCAAAAGCGGCCAAGGAGTCCGTCCCGGCTCCAGGCCAGGACCAGATCGCCGCTCGGTACCGCCAGTTTGCGACTCTGTGCCTGCGCAGTCGTCGCTATCTCACGCTTCCGATCTCGTCACAACAGGCGCCCTCGCCGAGTGCAACGTCCTCGCGGCCGCAAAGCCGTGCTGGCTCGCGCAGAGTCGGCGTCGCAAAGAACCTGAGAGCGCCGCGGCATGCTTCGGTTGGCGACGTCCTCGGCGAGGCCATGGAGCTGCATAGCACGAGCGACGAGGGCCGCCGCGACGGGATCTACAACCAGAGAGAGCACGGACGCCGAGGATCGCTCTCCCGTGCAGCGCCGCAGCGGCTCGTCGGCGGCTCGTCGGCTGCGGCCTCGAACGGAGATCGCATGGAGGTTGACGAGGAACCTCCCTCTCTGAGCAGTGCTCCAGCGGAGCCTGCGCAGCAGCAGCAGCAGCAGCAAGCAAGCGTGCTCACGCTGGTGGCAGACATCGGACGCCTCGAGCTGGAGGAGGTTGGCCACCGTGCCGCCGCTCGCGAAGCGATTACAGCGACAACCGGGACGCAAACATCAGGCGTGCCGACGCCTCGCGAGCTGCGTGCCCAAGCCCGGCTCGACTTGCAAGTCGTAGGGCTGCGCGAGGAGGAGCGGCGGCGGCAGCGGCTGCACGCGGCGGCAACGACGAGGCTCGTTCGAGAACTGGCGCTGAAGCTCTCGAACCCGCTGCGACACTTTGGCGGGGGTGCATTCATTCAGTTGATGATGTGCGAATTCGTCATGCGGCCAGAGGTACAGGGCCGCTCCGGCCGCTCCCTCGGCGTAGCGTTTCGCTCGCAGCTGCTGCTGGTGTACGAGCCCAGCGACGTGCCGACGCTCCCGGGCCTCTACAGCCTCGACGTCTTGCAGGCGTCGCTCAACACTCCGCTGTTGCAGCGGGCCGCCCTGCAGGCGATCGACGACGTGAAGCTCTTCTCGCTCCACCTGCCCGGCGTGCTCGGCAAGGTGGAGCCGACAGAGGCCGACTCGCTCCTCGGCCTGTGGCAGCGCGCGGCGGAGGTGCGGGCAGCGGAGGCGCGCCGGCCGCAGCGCGGCCGGCCACGCCATCGCATCGAGTTCGCGCTGCGTCAAAACATGACGGGTAATCGTTACTCGGCCGCCCTGCGCAAGGCCGTGTACTTGTACCGCCACAAAAGCGGTACGGAGCGCTCAATCTCGATGCGCGGCGCTGCGTCGCTCGCTCGGGATGGCGCCACGCTCCTGTTCGACATCTCGGACGACGATATCGCACGCGTGCATAACATCATTGTGCATAACATGCAGGACCTCTCACCGTGGGCCGACAGCCAGGACGTGCAGGCGAGGGCGCCGATCTCGGGGATGACGATTCGCGCCGGATCGCTCTTCAACCGCTTCAAATCGGGAGCCCCCACCGGGTGGGTGGCGAAGCTGTTCGCGGGCGAGGCACCGACGGAGCGCAAGCTGGTCATGCAGCGCTTTACCGACGGCAGCGAGTTTGGCGGGCACTGGCACCAGCTCCTCTTCTTCGTCGACCAGAGACGGGTGCTCTACCACGAGCCCTATGGCGGCGCAATCGACTCGGGCATCGCGTCTTGCTTCCACCGGAGCCCCGGGCCTGCCGCCGGCTGGGCGCTGGAGGTGGTGGATGTGCAGCTGCAGTCTTGCACTCACGAGTGCGCGCTCTGGGTGGACTTTGTCGCGGAGGTGGCTGTCGACTACGTGAGGAGCGACCTGACTCGCTCCTTCAGCGAGTACCTTCGCGGGTGCGCTCTCCCTGTGTGTGTGTGTGCATGCCTGCGATAAGGCTGACCGGTGTCGCGCCGCCCCCGCAGGCGTGAGGAGATCACCCCGCTCAACGGCATGCGGCGGACTTGCACGGCGATGAAGACGGCGAAGGCAAAAAACAACGCCTTCGTCGCACAGCGCCGAAACGACGTGCGCACGCTGTTACGTCTAGCCTATGTCCAGCGCCAACTGCCGCACACAGGCTCCGCAACGCTGACCGCCTTTGGCGCAGCGGCGGAGCAGGAGCCTGCCGAGGACACAGACTCGGACTTTGAGATGTTGACCTAGACCGACGTGTGATTCAGATAGTTGTCTTCAGATGTGTGTGTGATTCAGATGTGTGTGCGTGTGATTTTCGGCACGGGTATAGATTAGAAGGAACGTATCGTCACACACACCCTCTTTGAGAGAGGGACACAGCGTGGTGCCACAGTAGCGGGCGCTTCTACAGAGGCAACCGGTCCGAGGGCGAGCGTTTCGCTCGCCCTGATGCGCATGAGCGACGTGGAAGCTCTCGACCGGCGCAGATGCCACGGGCGACACCAATCCCAGCCTCAAAAGGCGAGGAGGGCTGGTGGAGTGCCCAGACGGCAGTGGCTTCCGAAGAACTTTTTGCGGGTGACGCAAAGGATCCGAGGAGAGAGCACCTCGGCTGCCGGCGAGGCATCCGCCCCGCGCCCAGACATCTGATGGAAAGTGCGAAGAAGTGGTGGCGGCAGGCTAGCCACCGGTGGGGCACACGGAGCGATATGGCGTTCGGCTGCGATTTGAGTGCAACCGGGTGACGCATCTCCTCCACAGAGACGCGGGGACGGCGTGCCTGCGAGGCGCCCGATATGCGCCAACGGACCCAATGGAAAGTGCGAAGCGAGCACTCGACGGCTCGCAGCCTGTGGACGGAGCACGAGAGCTCGAACCTCGCACTCGCGTGCAAAATCGGCACCTCGGAGCGCCATTTTCACACCGCATTCGAGCCCATGAAAACAACAATGTACCCCAAGCAGCACGATCACGCCTCGCACCGGTGCGGTGGTGCCGGGCGGCTCTAGGGGGTCAGGCTGGCTGCATGGCACCACCCGTAGCCCGTTTTGCTGCCCTGGCATCACCCGGAGGGGGGATTGAACATAGTAGTCTACTTTTCCCGTAGAGTAGCATTGCCATTGGATGTTTCGCCAGAGCGGGATGCGCTGTAGCGCTCCAGGGTGTGTGTTGTGCATGCTTCTGAGGCCAGTTTTCTGAGAGAGCATGCTCATAAAATTCGCAACAAAAGCCAACGAACGTTTTGACCACGGCCGTTGCCCAGAGGTCAGACGGGACGAGAGAGGGATGGGCTCACACCTACCCCCCAGCGCTCAGCGGCGGCTGCCGCCCGCGGAGCACAGCCGCTGGCCAGCAAGAGCCGACACCGCGCGGGGAATGGATGCAAACGCCGCCCCTCCCTCCCCCCCCTCTCTCCACGGCTGCCCGGTGCAGCGAGACTGGTGAAAGCTCATCCGCTCCCCCCGAACCCCCGCAAGCGCGTCGCACAGTTAGTGGTCGCCCCGCTTCTTGGCGCGCCGCTTCTCGTTCTTGCTCTGCGCCTTGGACTTACCCGGCTGCGAGTTGGCCTGGTTGGGGACCGGCGCCGACTTGCGCACTGCGGGGGTGGCCGTGCGCCAGCCGTCGTCCTCGGAACGGCTCTGCGCCGGCGCCTCGTCCTTCCCCACCCGCTCAAAGCCACACATCTCGCACTCGCGCAGCGCAATGTTGTTCAAGAAGGTGCATCGCGGGCACTCCCACTCCTCCTTGGCCGGCTGGCTCGGCTGCGACTTAGACGCCTCGGGCACGCGCGACACGCTCACCACCGCCTGGCTCGAGTTGCGCGGCGGCACGGGCGGCTTGTAGGTCTGCGCCGCGGCGGCGTAGTCTGCCGCCGAATGCAGGTTGCGAGGCGGGCCGGGCTGTGGTCGCGTGACCTGCTGGGCCACCGGTGGCGCAAAGGCGCCCGCAGGGAAGGCTGCAGAGTGGACGCCGTTGGGCTGCAACTGCTGCACGGGCGGCACGGCTTGCGGTATCGCCGGGTTGGCAAACGCGCGCGACGAGTGGCCGCCGTTGCCCATCGTGAAGGCCGAGTTGAGTGCGGCCGGCGTCGGGTTCGGCGTCGGCGTCTGTAGCAGGCTCATCAGCGCCGCGGCCTGCGGCGCGGGCGCGCGAGGCGGAACCTCGCCTAGCCCGACGCCGAGCGCACCGGGGTACGGAGCGCCGGCGCTGCCGGCGCCGCCGCCCATGCTCAAGTTCTCAAAGCCCAGACCCAGGTTGGCCTGCTCCGCTGCGGTCCGCCCGAAGCCGCCCGCTCCCATGCCCGGAGGCATCCCCATAGGCGCGGGCGGCGGCGGCGCGCGCGGCGGCGGTTGCGGCGGTTGCGGCGCGTTGTTCCAGATGTCTGACACGCCCGGAGGCGCGGCGTGGGCGACGCCAGGCCCGCCGCCGAGCAGCGACCCGGTCTGCCAGTTCGTGTTGGCCACGGCGGGCGCCCGCTGCTGCGGCCCCAGGTTGATAAAGCCAGAGCCGACGCGGTTGGGGTTGTCGATCCGCGCCGCCATCGCGTCCTCTTGCTCCTGCCGTGTGTAGTAGCCGCCGTAAGCTGCCATCGTGCTGCAGGCGCGCACCTGCGCCGCCGGGGTCGCGGCGTGTCAGCCGGTGCTGCGGCGCTCGGCGACTCTCTGGCGCGCGCAGGAGCTCACACGCACGGCCGGCGGGCCGGGCCTGACGGGGAGCGTCCTCTCCCGCCGTCCGCGCGGCTCGATTGGGGGGTCCGGCGGTGGGCCGCTCATGGTGGCTGAGTGCCGCGCTGTCTGTGTGGGCCCGCGCGCCTCAGCAGAGCGCGTAGCTTGCCACCTCCAGCTCTTCACTCTGGGGCCCCGGGGCACGGTTTTTTGTTTCGGCCTCCCAGCCCCCTCCGTGGACATATGAACCACATATGCACACCGGCCCACAACACACGACACCCGGACACGCATGAGGGCGGCGTGACCGCGAGGCTGTCTCAGAGCGCCACGGCCGTCTTCGGCGCCCTCTCCACATAGCCGTTGACGGCCGCCTTGAGCCGCTTGAGCTCGACGTGCAGCGCGCGGTACTCTTGCGTCTGCTGCAGCATCGAGCGCTTCTTCGCGCGGAAGGCCTCGACGAGCCGCGCCTCGGCCTCTCGCCTCGCGTCCTCGCACGACGCCCCGCGAACCTTGTCGTCAAGGCCAGTGAAGAGCGCCTGCGCAGAGGGGCGCGGCCGACTGCTCGGCACCCACCCACGAGGCGCCTCCCTCTCCCCGCGCCGGCCCGCCCGCTCGCCGTGAGGGCGGCGAGGGCCACATCGAGCTGCCGGTATCGCCTGTACCGCTCGCGGAAGCGCCTGCGAAAGGGCAGTCGAGGGGGTGGACGGCACAATGGTGGGAATCGGACGCTGCTCCGCGCGCCTCTTCCCGGCGTGGTACGCCTCCGTCGACTCGATGCGAGGCGCTGCAGTGGCGCCGCGGCCGCCGGCATCCGGCAAGGGCTGGCGTGTCGCGGGCTGGCGAGTCGCGGACTGGCGTCCCGCAGGCTGGCGAGTCGCGGGCGGGCGTCCCGCAGGCTGGCGAGTCGCGGGCGGGCGCCCCGCCGGCTGGCGCCCCGCTGGCTTCCCCGCCGGCTGTTCCATTGGCATGCGCCTCTCAGGCGGGTGCTTCACAGGCTCCGCAGGCGCCTCGGCAGCCTTCCTGAGGCTCTGCAGGCGACCGCGCTGCTCGGGCGTGTAGTGCGGCCAGTCCTCTCGAACCATGGCACCCACGTGCGGCTTGAGCTTGCACACCGCCGAGGCCGCGAGCTGCGGCGGGCAGATTGCCACCTGCTTGAGCTGCTTGAGGTAGAGGTCTCTCCTGTACGCTCTGCCAACGCGCTCGTGCATCGCCCGGACGGCAGCCTCGAGAGCGTCGGCGACCCACTGCGGCTCCAGCGCGAGGATGTGACAGACGCAATCGTACATGTCGGACGCGAGCGCCGCCTGTCGCGGCGATGGCGGAGGCATCCGGGGCGGTGAGCCAACAGAAATTGGTTGTCGCGGCCCCGGGCCGATTTGGAGGGAAGGGAAAAGAATTTAGCTGAAGAATTTAAAAAACGGAAAAGAATTTAAACAAGCCCGCGCACGACGCTGGGCACGGGACTGGCGCGCACTGGCACTAACACAGGTACACCACGGGAGCCGCCTAAGCGACTCCTGCGGTCCTGCGAGGACGGCGAGGCACTAGGGAAAAGAATTTTCCCTAGTTTTACGACGGCTCCCTGGGAAGAGAATTCCAACTCTCTCGCACAGCACACAGGTTCGAAAAAAAGGCACAGCCGGCGACGGACCCTTAAAAGGCGCCGTCGTCCTCATAAAGGTTGGCACGACCGGGGGGACCAAAGACAACACAACAAACAAAGACAGTCGAATCCGCGAGCCACCGTAATGCTCGCCTAAAAGACCATCCCCATCATCCCATCCCCCCCGGCGACCCCCTCAGGGAAAAGAATTTTAGACGCGAGAGAAGCCGCGAGAGCAAGGGCTCGGCAGGCAGCGGCGGCGTCGCAGAACGAGGCCGAGGAGAGCGATGGGTCAGAGGATGAAGCGGCAGGAGAGAGAACGACGAGAGGTGAGAAGACCGCGAGGCGCGGCATGAAGGTCGCTGCGAGAATTGGCGAGAGACTGCGAAGAGAGATAGGAAGAGGCAGACGCCCATGCAAGGGTGGGTGGGCGACGGCTAGCACCACACTCCTCCCCTTAAAATCCCGTGTGCCGTCCTCCCATCCCTCCCTTGGGTTCTCTATTTTCTTTCTTTCTTTCTCCCTTGGATTGTATGTGTTCTTTCTTTCCTTGTGTTGCGTGTTTTCTTTCTTTCTGCTGTGAGAGAGTTGTTCTGTTAAATTCTTTCTGGCCTCGCGGTTGTTTCATAAACTAGCCAAAGAAAGAAAGCGGGGAGTCCCGGCACTTTGCTCGGTTCTGTCCTCCTCCCAGCTTTTTCGTTCTATGCAGGCACTGGTCGCATTCTCAATCACTCAAGCACTCGACGGCCCGACGGCGTCATATCTCGGTTGCACCACCGATGCGCCCTCATGCGTGTCTGTGTGCTGTGGCCTGCGTGTCTGTGTGCTGTGGCCTGGGGAGTGGCGAGTGGCTGTCTGTGCCTGTGCGTGGGGCCTGTGTGCCCCGGTGTGCATATGTGTTCATGTTCCACGGCGGGTTGGAGCGCCGAAACAAAAAAACCGCAGGCCAGAGTCGGTGGCAAGCTACGCGCTCTGCTGAGGCGCGCGGGCCCACACAGACAGCGCGGCACTCGGCCACCACGAGCGGCCCACCGCCGGACCCCCCAATCGAGCCGCGCGGACGGCGGGAGAGGACGCTCCCCGTCAGGCCCGGCCCGCCGGCCGTGCGTGTGAGCTCCTGCGCGCGCCGCGCCGCGCCATCGCTCCGGAGAGGGCGAGCGGCGCCTCTCCTCACACAACGAACCCCCCTTCGTCCCACCTCCTAATCATTCCTGTCGCGCACCAGCATCCGCGGCGGGCTGTCGGCGGTGGGCAGCTGCAGCATGGGCGCGATGGATGGCCGTCCGTGCGCGCAAAAGAACGGCATCGCGCACCCAGCGAGCTTGGTGAGCAGGGCCTACGTGGGCCGCGAGTTCCATCTGAGAAGTGGAGAAAAACGACCGGCGTCGGGGATGACGGGAGGTATGGCGCCTGGCACTGCGTAGCGTCGAGCATGTCCCCAAACATGATTGCCCTTCGGCACGCCTTGGAGGCGAGGATTCGGTGCACCTGGGGCGGAGGCTGCGCCGGGCAGCCCGTCTCTGCGATCAGGCGCAGGTACTCGAGCAGCGCCCCGTCTCCGAGCTCGACGCCGAGCAGCACGGGGACGGCGCGGAGGTGCGTGTCTCCCACGCCGACGCCCTCGAGCTCCCAGCCCCAAGCGCGGGCGGACGGCGCCGCCTGACTGAGGGCCGCGCCCTCGTGCGAGGGCAGCGCCACGGCGCGGGGCGGGTGCAGCCGGCGCCGCGCCACGGCGCCAGGCAGAGGGCCGCCTTGCGGCGAGATCGTCCTCGCCTGCAGCAGCTCGAGCTGCACGCGCTCGTCCGCCGCGTGCTGGTCGACGAGGCAGAGCCGCGCGCCGCCGCCATCGCGGGGAGGGATGCACGCGGCCACGAAGCGGCGGTCGATCTGTCCGATGGCGACGAGCCGCGAGAGGTCGTCCTTGGTGATCCTGCTCTCCGTCGGCTCGGGCGCAGCTGCAAGGCTCGGCGCTGCAGAAAGCCGCTGGTGGAACGGGAGCCCGCGGCGCACCGGCCGGCGGCGGCTCGGCCGGCTGTCGACAAGGTTGCCAAAGGCCGCGGAGACGAGCCCGCGAGCGATGCCAGCCTCGTCTCCCTCGCCGCCAAAGAGACCGTCGCCTCCGTCTTGGGCGGCGGTATGAGCGGGAGCGGGATGGGGCAAACCGTGTGCCCCCGCCAGCAGCCCTGGCGCGGGTCCCTCAGCGGCGTGGACGGCTCCTCCGAGGGATGGCCCGACGCCGTCCCTCCCCCCCCCTTGCCCCGCCTCTCGCCCCGCCTCCTGCCCCTCCCAGCGCCCCTCTTGCCCCAGCCACTCCTCTTTAGGCGCTTCGTCGAGGGGGCGCTTGCTGCGGCCCGCCGCAGAAGGCCTCGGGGACGAAAGCCAGTTGCCCGAAGAAGAGGGGCCGAGAGGTGGCGGCGTCGCCAGAGGCTGCCGTTGCTGCCGCTCGTGGTCGACTTTGCGCGCTGGCGGCTGGCACTCGAGCGGTGACGGTGGCGGTGGGGTGGCCGGGCTCTCCAACGCTGCGAGCAGCACGGCCGGGTGGTGCCGCGCGCGGGCTAGCGACGCGCGCGCCCCACCAGTCGATCGGTCCTCCTGGAGCTCGTACCCGGCGCGTCCCGCCTCTCGCAGCTCGTGCCGGTCGGCCTCGACGGACGCCGACTGACCATGGTCGCTCCCTCTCGCTCCTGGCTCCGCCTCGTAGCTGGTGGCTCCCACCAGCCCTCCTCCCTCCCCCTCTGTCTCGTCGACCGCCTCGTCGACCGCCTCGTCTCGCCGCTCGCCGTGTGTGCCATCGCGCACCTCGCGTGGCGCGTCGTCGCTCGCGTCGCGCGCACCTGCTGCGAGGCAAACCAGCTCCGCTGCGATGTCACGCGGGTCGAGTGCGCTAGCCTCGCGGCAGAAGAAGCTGGTCAGCGCCCCGAGCAGCGCGTTGCGGACTGCGGCCAGATCGTAGAACATCACCTCGGACTTCTCCTTGTGGAACGCCGCGTCGTACCGCGACGGGCAGCAGGTCAGAGATATGCAAAAGACGGCAGGCGCGCTGCCGGGTGACGACATTTGGCCCGCGAGCCGTCGGTGAAGCCTGGCGTACGACGCCTCGATCAGGCGGTGAAGCTCGCTGGTGCGCTCGAGAGGGCGGCCGTTGAGCGACAGCAGCTGCGCATCGCGGATGCGGCCTCCGTTGCAGAGCACCGACAGGTGGCCGTGGAGGCTGTATCGACCGTCGTCGAAGCTGAGCTCTGCGAGCCGCGGCTGCTCCTCGTGGGAGCCGCAAAGCAGCAGCTGCCGAAAGGCCGCGAGCGGAGATGCGGCCCGCCCCTTGGTCACGAGCGTTACGCCGCGCGACGCGTCGTGGAGCCGGAAGGCGACGCCCGGACTCGCCACAGCGAGGCGCGTCATCCTTGCAACGAGGAGGGAGAGTTCTGCGCCGGCGGCGCTCGGCCGCTGGTGCCTCTTGCGCGCCACGGCCCGGTTGGAGAACATGTTTCTCACCGAGACAGTCGTGCCTGGCGCGCGCGCCTCCGCGGCGGGGCCCGGCTGCGTGCGCTGGCCGTGCTGCAGCACCGTGACCAGCGAGGGCGCCGCCGGCGGGTCGACGCAGCGGCTGACAATCTCCACCAACGCGACCGTCGAGAGGGCGTGGAGCGCCTCGCCTCGGAAGCCAAAGGTGTGCACGCCGCCGCGCAGCTCCTCCAGCGATCGAATCTTTGAGGTGGCGGCGCTGGTTCCCACCACCGACAGGGCGAGCCTGTCCATGCCGCGCCCGTTGTCGCGCACGCTGAGCGACAGCGCCTGCACGTTCACCGACGCCACAATCTCGGTGGCGCCGGCGTCGAGAGAGTTGAAGACGAGCTCCTCGAGCGCCCGAGAAAAGGTCGGGACGGCCGTGGCGGCGCGGATGCGGTCCGAAATCTCCGGCGCCAGCGGCGTGATTTGCATTGTTCACGGAGCCTTGTTCCAGAGCGGCTGGTGTCGCCCGAGCCGGTCACGGCGTCTACTTTGGGTACGTTCATAGGTTCCTACTCAGAGTCTTCACTTTGAGGGACTTAGCGAAAGTCGCACGGGCAGAGGGGAGACACAGGCCTCCGGCAGTCCGCACCGCCTCGCGAAAGGGAAGCAACGATCAACTCCATCTTGGACTTGGGTGCGCCGAGCGCCGGCGCGTAGGTCGCGACCGACGCGCAGCGCGGGCACGTCGCGAGCACAGAAGCGCCTCGGGTGCCGTGCGCCACTAACCCGGTTGTGCCGGGCAGGGCTGCGTGCCGCTTGAACGACCACATCGTTGGAGCAGGAGCGTTGGAGCAGGCAAAAAAACTTTTGAAAACCAAAATACCGCTCTGGCCCAGCTGTCTGGCCGTTGGATTGCCGAGCTTGGTGGACTTGCGTCTCGCATCGTTCGGCTGTGAAGGTGCTATTACGTCCCGGGGCGATGCCCGGTTGCCGAGCGTTGTGAATCAGACACTCTCGGCGAGGGCGGTGCGGCAGTGGTGGAGGGGGTCTCGTCTCACGTGTCGGCGCTAAAGGGCAGGGTCCACGGACCACGCGTTCTCAGATTGGCCGTTGGAGGTCTTTGGCCATAGTTAGGAGCGGCGCTACCTGCTTGGCGATCCCGTACCCTGTGTTGACATGCGTTGAGAGACGCGCGAATCACACGGGGCCGCGAGATGATGGTCAGGAGACAGTCACGTCAGAAAGGCGAGGTGCGGGCACGGGCATGAGGCTTGAGGGGGCTCGTCGCGCGCTCGGCGGGACTGTGTGTGTGCGCGCTCACTCACTTGCAGCTCGTGGGGGGGTGCGTTCGACGTCGCACCTGTCGTCGCGGCTGCTCATGAAAGCCTCTACATGGAGTTGTACATGTATTGTATTGCGAAAGCTCTTGCCTGCTCGAGGCTGCTGCTGCCCTGGGGGCCTGGCGTCTTTTCTATATCTGAGCAAGCGTCATCCACCATGGGCCCGAGCGGTGCGACACCCTGCCCGCCGCCGCTGCCACGCCTCCGCGCTCCGGCAAGCCCGTCCGCACGACCGCAGGTGCTGCCTGGCAAGACGGTGCTGATGAAGATGCTCACCCTCGAGGCAGGCCCTGACAAGGCGCGCTGAACCGAACGCTCACAGAGTAGAACCTAGAAGCAAAGAGCATGACTGTCTCACAGTTTCTTTGCAGTGTGGGCTTTGGGGGGGGGGGGGGGGTAGAGCCGTACCGCGTTGGGATATTTCCTGGATATCGGCGTTTCGGTTCTTTAAAAAGGTCTCGCGTCCTAGCAAGGTCCTACGCACTCGCCCCCCGGGCTTGCTTTTTTTCGCTCCAGTCCTGCGGACCTTCTAGTAGACCGGAGGGCTATACTGTTCACACTCCAACGTCCAAGGGGCTGGGGGGTCCACTACGGCTACGCCTACGGCTCTACGGCTTTACGCCGCCCGGGACAAAATGTGCGTGTTGGACTCGCTCGTGCCTTGATCCACTGGAAAGACCCGGTTGTTGTTCAAGTCTGAGAACCACCTCTTCGTCATCACAGCGACAATTGGCCTGCATTACTTTTCCCCGATAGACATAAAACAAAAAAAGGAAAGCAGAGAGGGTCCGCGCGCCGGCGTGTAACAAATTGAGAGACACGGCTGCCCCCCCCCCCCCCCTCACACCTGGTTCGCGAGCACCGGGCGGTGCTGGACGCCCGCTTCGGCCGTGCGCTGCAGCGCCGTCTGCGTCGCCTCCTCACCCGTCGCGAGGAAGGTCTGCGTCTGTGCCTGCTGGCCCGGCTCCGCCGCTGCCGTCTGCGTCTCGGCCGGTTGACCCTGGTCAAAGGCGCTCACAGCTGTCTGCGTCCCCGCCGGCAGCCCGCCGGCGCCCCCGGTCCGCGCGTCACACGACAGCGCGGCTCGCCGCGCCGCCGCGCCGCCGTCGCCGGGGCCGCGCGCGCAGAGAGCGGTACGGCGGAGCGCCTCGAGCCGCCTGTGCGCGTCCGGCTCGTAGTGGAACTGCATCATCTCGTGCTCGTACCGGTGCTCGCGCCCAATCTCAAACGCGTCGACGATCGAGCGCAGCCGCCCCCAGTTGGCCTGCTCGTCCGAGTCGTCCCACCGAAGAAAGCAGTCCTGCCCCGGAGAGGGAAGGGGCGGGGGCGGGGAGGTGGGGGCGGCGGGGGAAGGGGCGGAGGTCATGGCCTCCAGAGGCGAGGGGAGGGCGGGGAGGCCAATGGCTGGTCTGAGGGTGCGAGATGAGGGTGCGAGAGTCTCGCGGTGCGCGGGGGCGGCGGTCTCTTTTTTCTCCTGCTGGATGGCGAGGACGCGCTGCGCCTCTGCGGGTGAGAGCGGGTTGGTCGGCTCCGGCGGCCGCGGCAAGCGCGGCGCAGTGACGCCAGAAAAGACGATCACCGCGCGGTACGCGATCCACGGGCCGAGCGCCTTGTGGAGCGAGATTGATTGAGACATCGATTTAGAATTGATTACATAAATTCATTGGCCGAGCGCCTTGTGGAGCGAGCGCTGCAGCGAGGCGTCGTAGAAGGCCAGGCCCGCGACGTGCGCCGCGGTGGCGACCGAGACGCAGCGGCCGTGCGTCTCGAGCGTCTCGTCCGCGAAGACGACCGACGGCGCCGCGTCGAGGCCGGGCACGCCGTCGAGAGCGCGGAGGAGGGTGGAGACGGCGTGGCGCGCGTATGCGTCGAGAGCGTCGGGGTGGCGCGCGAGGTAGTTCTCGTCCTCCGCCAGCCGCTCGCCCACCCACCGCACAAAGGGGCGCCAGAGCGTGCGCGAGTTGCCGACCAGAAGCGCGAGCGTGTCGCCATCGGCGTCGAGGTGGTGCGCCACGCCGAGCGGAGTCACCTTTGGGTGCTCGTTGTACCAGCGGACCAGCAGCGGCGCCTGCACCTCGAATCCGGCCGCGCAGAGCGCCGGAGCGAGCCGCGAGAGGATGGTGGCGGCCGCCCCGCCGCTGCCGCTCGCCTCGGCGCCGCTGCCGCTGCTGGCGGCGCTGCCGGCGGCGATGCTGCTCGTGGCGGCGGTCGCCGCCGAGCGGGCGGCGGCGGGGCAGGGCGATGCGTAAAAGGCGGCCCAGGTGTACGGCGGGAGGAGCATGTGTCCGGAGGGGTGCGGGTCGTGGACGGGATCGAGAGTGACGCCTGCAGCCGAGACGCCGACGCGTCAGCGGACGCTGTGGCGATCCCTGCCACGGCCAGCTCTCGCAGACCGTCACGGCCGACGGCGGCGACGATGACGTGCCCGTGCGCGCCACGGGGCGACGTGCCGCGTAAAATGCAGAGGCCGCCCTCGACGGACGGGTTCGGCAGCTTGCCGTCGGCGCCGAGCGCGACCTTGATTGGTGCGAGGCCGAGCGCGGCGCCGTGCGACACCATCGACCGCCAGTAGTCGCCTCCCGCGGCGTTCAGAAAGTCTGGCGTCTGGGCGAGAGGCAAGTCGAGCAAGCTGGCGACGCAGGCGCGCAGAGCGTCGCCACGGCCGGGATCAAAGTTGGTCTGTGCGACACGTCGGGAGAGCATTCGGACGGCCCTCGCACAACACTGGGCACGGGACTGGCGCGCACTGGCACTAACACAGGTACACCACTGGAGCCGCCTAGGCGACTCCCGTGCCGCGGAGGACGGCGCGACGGCACAATCGGCGACAAGATTTCTTTTCACCTATCATAAGAGATATATTTGCCACTTTCCGCACAAACATGGCACCCGACCAGCTGAAGCTCTACCGGCTCGTGCAGCGCTGGAACAGGCCGAGCTCATAGGGCGCCGAGCTCGCCAGCTGCAGCCCTGCAGTTCTCGATACTGAGCCCTCCTCCCGACCCGCTCTTGATGTCCATCCGGTCCGCGCCGTCCAGCTGGGCGACGCCGTCGCGTACGAGCCGGCCTCGACGCGCTCGCGGCTGCCGCGGCGGCCTCGGAGGCGCGCTCGGCGAGCGGCCGCGCTCGGCGGTGCTCCTGCTGCTGCCGTGCCGCCGAGCGGCGTCGAGGCTCCAGAGAGGCGATGCCAGTGACCGGCCGCGTCGGAGGCCTCGCTCCGGTCAAGTTCCTCGCGCTCTCTCCACCTCTCTCGCCGCAGTTGCGTAGGCGACAAAATGAGCTCGCTCGCGAAAATCACAAACAGTTGGAGTGGGAAGGGGTGCTGGGCCCGAGCCTGCTTGACACTGCGGACACGGTCCGTCTGCGTCATTCCCCCCAGGCTGATTCGCCGTCTCGTACTTCCTCGCGCTTTTTCTCACCCTTGCCCAGAAGCTTCCCACGCCAAAATGCGGCGCGATGCAGTCCTGCTCGTGGAGGTTTGTGCGAACAGAATCCAGTGCGGTGCAGTGTGGCAGCTTGCGAGGAGCGGTGACGGGTCGTTTGCCCGTGGAGCCAGTTTGCCAAACCGGGAGGGGCAGAGCGCGGGGCCGCTCGCACTGTCACACCTCGCACGTCCCGCCCTGGACACATCACTCGTGGATAGTGCGCAGCCGCCGCCGTGTGCGCCAATTCGTCGAGAGTGCGCAATGACCGGACGCTCGGGAAAGGTTTATGTAAGTACATTTGAAAATGGCCGAGTTCGTCTCAGTTATCGCCTCTCAGTTATATCGTGAGTCTTTGTCTCTGACGTCCGACGACATGTCACATGAAAGTCATGAACATGACAGGCGGCCGGTCTCGGGGTCTGAGACTCGCTGCTGACCGCCGACATTCCGCTCTCTGAGTCGTGAGTGTGCGCCCTGGAGGCCGGCCTCCCGAGTCGCCGGCGCCCAGTACGTCAAGCTCCCAGCTCATAGACTCAGAGAGGGACGTGGTGGGCGCAGAAGCGGGCGAGTGATGTCCGTTGCGAAAGCCCGAGGGCGGCTCGGCAGCCCCGGGTCGGCTGGCGAATAGCCTGCCGTGCCGTCAAAGAGCAGAACGCGTAAGCAGCGGCCGAGATGCGCTGTCCTCGGCCAGCGCGGGTCCTTCGTCGCGGCGTCGCGGTCTCCTGGTCGAGGAGACCGGCGCAAAGGGCGTGGCTCACTCGCGCGGCAGATTAGCGCGAGCTTCGGCCGAGCACAATGCGATTCGCCCCACCACCCATCCGAACGAGATTGAGTTCGGTCCGCGGGCACGTCGAGGGCGAATCACGCCACGCGGCGGTGGCGGCTCGGGCAACATACACGTCCTCGAAATAGTAGCGCGCCGGAAGACCGAGGCAAAACTCCGCGCGCCCGAGACGACCTGCGCGGCGGGGACGGCTCTCCCGACTCCGCGTGCACGAGTGGGGGCCTCGGAAGCGGCGAGATGCGGCGCCGAGAGAGGGAGACATGTGCCGCTCTCGCGCCTGAGCGCCAAGCGCAGGCGTCGCGAGCCGGTGGCGGAGCCGCCGAGCGTCGCGAACGGTCCACCGCTCGCGCACGCGTGCAGCCGGTCCAGGGCGGCTAGGCAGAAAGAAGAATGGCGCGAATTGAGGCCGTACGCGCCCAGCGCGAGCCTTGTTCCAGAGCGGCTGGCTGTCGCACGAGCCGGCTCGTCGACCGAGCTCTGGACGATGCCGACCTCAAACCACCAGCGCCAGCAACGACGTGCCGCGGCTCGCCGCGCCGCTGTTGCGACCGACGACGTGCCCGACGCCGTCCCGCGGCCGAAAGGAAGAGGCCCGCGCAACCACTTCTGGGACCCGCGGCCGCCGGGCGTGCGGCGGCACAACGAGTCGAACGAACCGAACCAGCGCAGAGCGGCGCGTCTCGCGAGCGCCCGCGGCCGCCACGCCGACGCCGTCCGCGGCCGACGGTGGTCGCGAATCAACGCGGCGCGGTGCAACGAGGCCAAGTCCTTCCAGGCTCCCGCCAGCAGCGCCTCGTGGCGTGGGCTGCACGGCCCTTCGAGACGGCCCGGGGGGCGGTGAGAGACCTCTCCCGCCGGCATGGCGCACTATATCACCCGTAGAGGCCTCTCTATAGTCGCCTTTTGGCACCTCCTCTCTCCACGCCGCCGATTAGACCTCGCCGCATCGCATCGCCCCCTTCCCTGCCCCGTCGCCCTCCTGAGCTCTCCCTCCTTCGCTCCAGCCATGCACAGGACGGCTGGACCATTGGCCCGCGTGCCAGGCGTCCGGGACGGCCGGGTATCGGCTCCGTACTTTGAGCCCTCTTGGGCCACCCTCGCGTCCACCGGCCGGCAGAGCACCGCTTGGGCGACTCAGACGGCCCGCCCGACCAGCGCGTTCGATCGTGCCGCCCCCACAGCGTCAGTGGCGTGCGTGGGGTGGCAGGCGGCGTCAGCGCAGCCCCTCGTGGGGGTGCCCACCGCTCTCCTCTCACCGCTCCCCCCCGCCCGTGGCACCCCACACACTCGTCCCTCCTCAGGGGCGCAAGGCGGCACGGCACGTTCAGCGCTTGCCTCGGCCCACCTCGCCTTCACGCCCGCCACCGCGACCAAGGAGGTGGCCTCGGCGGCCCAGATGAAGCCCGTGCGGCTCGTTTGGGAGCCGCATGCCGTCCCTCTCTCGCCGGCGCTGCTCACCACGCCCAAGCCTACGCCGAGGAACCCGTCGCGCCCGTCGCTCACGAGCTGGTGGCTCGCATCGACCGAGCTGTCCAGCTTTCTCACGCCCTGCCCACGATCAAATTCGAGACGACCAACATCCGACCACAAAAAAGGCCCGCGCGTGCTGCGCGGGCCGGCGAGCGACTAGCGAGCCAACCTGCTAGTGTTAGAAACAATCGCAAGGCGGACATGGCATATCGCTCTCGGGCCCACAGACATCCCGCACACCCGCCGCCCCCGCGCGCGCCCCACCCCGGCCGGGAGAAAGGGGAGTGACAGTTTGGGATGGCAACAGAACGAGTATCTTGCACTCCATCCATGTATGTGCAAGAACGCAGAGAGAAATGAAAGCCGTCCGGCTCACAAGTCCGGCTCACGCGCCCCGAGCTGACCGATCTACCGCACTGATCACTTCCGCCCCCTCGCTCCCAACCCATCCACCTCGGTCCTCGCCGAGTGCCGAGGTGCGCGATCTCGGGCCGCGCCGCGCAATCTGAGGGAGGGTGTACTCGAGTAGAGGATGTAGAGTGTAGAGCGCTGTAGAGCTGTAGAGATGTAGAGCGCTGGAGAGCGCTGTAGAGCGCTGAGAGCTGTATGTAGAGATGTAGAGCACTCTGGAGCGCTGTAGAGAGAGCTGTAGAGCTCTACATCCGCCGCGTGACGAGGCGGGTGCGTTGTAGAGCGATGTAGAGCGCGATTTTGCTGTAGAGTTTGTTGTAGAGGCTCTACAGCCAACCCGCCGGGAAGGCAGTGACTCAAAGAGGTCGAGTCGCACTAATGGGGTGTGTCCGAGCTTACTAGAGCTCTGATGGACGGCCCTGACTATCCCTAACACACAGAGAGTCACTCTGACGGCACACAACACCCTATGACTGCATCATGACCAGCCTGCCATGCGTCGCCGGTGCCGCATTCGTCGCTGTGCTTCTTTAGCAGGCGGTGGACTATCGGCTGCGAGGACGGTCGCATTTGCGCGAGGCGAGGCGAGCATTCAGACGCGTTGCATGCGCCATGACTCGCGCCAGCGCGTGCGGGAGCTCCTGGCTGAGCGTTGAGTCCAGGCGAGTTGCGCTGGCCACTATCACTACGCCGAGCCCGAGCTGACGCGCCGAGGCGCCGGCCAGTCGCAGCCGTGAGGCATGCCACAGCAGCAGAGGCACCTCCCACCCATTGGGCGGGCAGACAGAAGGCCAGGGCAGCACTGGCAAGTGCAACGCGCCTCATGCCGGAGAGCGACCGTGCCTCGTTCGCCGCTTATGATGTAGAGTTTGTTGTAGAGATTTCACGTTGTAGAGCGCCTCTACATCGCTCTACGCACCCGCCTCGTCACGCGGCGGATGTAGAGCTCTACAACTCTACATTGCTCTACAGCGCTCCAGAGCGCTCTACATCTCTACAGCTCTACAGCGCTCTACACTCTACATCCTTGAGCACTTGAGCACTGGATAGGGTCGATTCCGCATGGTACGGGACCCCTCGATCGTCTCGCCCTCCCTCACTGGTCTCTGGTGTGTTCATTGGGGGGGGGGGTCATTTACACCCTCCCTCAGAATCGTACTTGGAACTTGCAATTGGGTGCCCACACTGGTCTTCTGATAAACGCAGTATGGAAGATACAAAGAGACGGAGGAGCAACGAGCGCCCTGGCGTGAGCCAAAGACACCCCATCCGTAGACACTGATCACACACGGACGGAACCCCGTCCGCAGCAGAAAGCACATCAGATCTGTGACGAGGATCGTGATAGGCGACTCGGCGTGCCACGTGTGCGCGCCGACGCGAGCGCCATTCGGGATGGCGCAGACCGCGCGCAGCATGTCCATGGTGAAAGGCTCCTTGCGTCGCGGCGCGAGAAACCCCAGCCCGAAGACATTGACCGCCACGCGTAGGAGTCCGCGAACTTGCGCGCGCACGTTTTTGATGCTCGGGAGGACGACTTGCCACCGCTGAAAGATGCGGATAATAGCCAGCGGGTAGGCGAGGGCGGATCTCGGCTTGGCCCAGCGATCTGCGCGACTCCGAGGTTTCAGCCGGGGATAGATCCAAAGGACGAAGAGACCGAGCAGCTTGCTTTCTCGCGCGGGGTACTCTCGCACGAACGACGCTTGCCGCAGCGGCGCGGTGTTCATCACGCCGCAGAACTCCTCCCACGCGTCCCACGCGCAGGCATCCTTTGTGTTGGTGTTGTAGTTGATGCCATAGTCCATCAGGTCAAGAACCATACGTCTAGGAGTATGTGACGCTGCTCAGCAGCGTCCACAAAGTCGCGTCATGTGTTACGACGGCCAGGTATGGAGACGGAATGTCCCAACCGGTTGAACGGTAAGAAAGACGGTTGAACGGTAGCCGTACGCCACACTCATATGTCGATTTTTTCTTCCACAACTCGGCGAGGTGGGCGCATGTCGAGCTCCGGCGCGCCGCGCGACGCCGCGACCGTCGACGAGATCCTGCGCTCGATGGGTGTGACCGACTACGAGCCGGGCGTCCTCCACCAGCTCCTCACCTTCATGCACGCTCATTGCGCCGAGGTATTTTCCGAAGGCGCAGACTACGCGGCGCACGCGGGCCGCACGGCGGTGGAGTGCGAGGACGTCAGACTGGCGTGCAGGCTCAAGTCTGCAGAGGCGCAGGTCACCTCGGCGCCCTTCCTTGAGTGGCTTGCGCGCGAGCGCAACGGCCAGCCGCTGCCCGCCGCGCCGACCAGCACGTCTGGCATCCAGCTTCCGCCTCAAAAGTTCTGTCTGCTCGCCGCGAACTACGATCTGGTGCCGCGCGCGCCGGCGGTGGAGGCGGCGGAGGACGAGACGCCGTCTCAGCTGCGCAGCGGTGCCGAGCCGCCCGTCCGGCCCAAGTCGGCGGGCCCGAGGATACCAATCCACCTCGGGGCAGCGCAGGCGGCGACCGACGCGCTCGCGCCCGCGCAGCCAGCCCGGGAGGGGAGCGGCGATGCGGCCATGGCAGAGGCGCTTGATGACGATGAGCTCTGGGACTAGCCTCTGTGTGCCATCTCGTACTCTCTTACGTACGTGGCTGGAGGCGCCAGGATCTGAAGCGCGCGTTTGCGCGATCTCGCTGTTTTTATCCTTCTTCAGAGCACTTAAACAAAACGTAAACCCCTCGCACAGCCCAACATGGAAGATACATCACGCCACAAACATGGAGGAGCGAGGCCGGAAGAGCACAGCGTGCGCGGTGCGCGGGGGCCGGCAGCGCCCCTGTATGTGCCGTAAGACAGGAGGCACAAAGCCTGCGGACTCACGCACGGGGGGCGCGGCGCAGAATAGCATTAGAGGGTACAGGGTCTAGGGCTATGCTTAAGAGGAGGCGGAGGCCCGTCTCGACGGCGTAGAGTCGAGTGTGCGGCGTTGCGTGCAGGCTGACGGCGAACGATATGGCCAGGCCCAGCCATATCCCGGCCTCGGACGGGCCTTTCAAAAGGCGCCGGAGCTGTTGTCAAAGATGATGATCGCGGTCGCAAACGCCTGCATGGCCGAGAAGGGCGCCTTGAAGTCGATGTTGAAGCGGTTCTCCTCCACCTTGCCCATCAGGAAGCAGACGTCGCTCTCCTTGGCCTGAGGCGGGCGGAGGTGGCGGGCGGGTGAGAGCGCTTCAGGCAGCGGCGCGCGCAGCCCGGACCGCGCGCGCGCGCCTTTGGCGCCAGCTGGACGTTTCTGCACGAGGGGAGCGAGGCGCGGCCGTGGAAGTCGAGGACGTACATGTTGCTCGACGCGTTCCACTTTGGCTGCCGGTTCTTGAGCTCGAGCAGCCCGCCCTTCTCGCCGCGCTTGAGCAGCGCCTCGAGCCCCTCCGTGTGATGCCTCGGCTGCACGCTCTCGAAGCTGCCGTCGCTGTCCACCTCGGGCAGGACCACCGTCATGGCGCCTGGGTCGCGGTTGCGCAGCGAGTTCGAAAAGTTTATGTGCAGCAGCTCGTGGCGCAGCACCGAGGTGCCGCCCTTGTCCTTTCCGTCGGGCGAGGTGCCGTCGTCGTACAGGGTGTAGTCGAGCGACTTCTTGTCGGAGCGGACCTTGCCGACAAAGGCGCCCGACTCGAGCGTGCTCGCCTTGGACCGCTTCGCCTCCTCCTGGTCGAGCGAGATGGAGTAGTAGCAGCCCTTGTTGAT